TAACTTTCCAGGGCAATGCAGTGAATTTAAGAAAACCGCGAACAGATTTGCAGGCCACTTTTTCGTACCAGTTAGAAATATAGCCTCGTATCATTTAATGAACACGGTCCATGGTATCAAGAGGGGATGATGACAATGTGAACCGCACAAAACATTTTGCTTATTGCGGCGCACATTTCGTTAGGTTTGTTAACCTGGTTTTGCCTGTCTAATTCTTGTTCTGTGTTTGCGGGCGCTCTTCCGACCTGGGGGACTGGAGAAAGGCAAAGCCTGGTTTAAGCGCGTTCCAAGATCGTCACCAGTCAGAAAACAAGCATCACAGAACGGCGTTCCAAAGAAAGCTACGGGAAACCGACAAGCGTGCGCCCACGCAGTAGTCCGTCAACCCTGTCACAGCGCTGTCACCCGCGGGCGCGCCTGCGGCACTAAAGGGCCCAGTCAACTCTGATTAGGTCGTCGCTCCATCACCGCCAGTCAGCTAGCTGGGCCGAGTCTATAATACTGCCTACCTCCGAAAGACGTCGACACGCGAAACGGCACTTACGCGATGATTCTATCTCAAAGTGGTTTTTAGAAGAAAGAGAAAAGAAGAAACAGTGGTCGGGTATTTTACGCTCATCGACGCACACGGTTCGGTAATTTCCCAGTCACGCAAAATGGATGCCTTTTCCGGGTACTTTTTCACAAAGTCATTTGAATTCAGAGTATTGACACCCTTTTAAATGCTATAGTATTTGTGAGCGAACCCTACGCACTTATGTGTAGGGTTCGCTCAGAATCCTGACCTCAGTTCCAGGTGGAAGGGTGACGAGCTCACATGTTCTGCGGGCTCGTCATAATGTTGGCGCATCTTCTCCTTGTATAAGGCATTCCTGGAGCAAAAGTCGGTGGTGTGCCAGCGAGGTTGGAGAAATTCGGACTTTACTGGCACGTCTGTGCAGAGTCTTCGTCCCATGAATAGCTCCGTTGGCGCGTAACCTTCGATTCCCGAGGTCGCACGCTGGGCCAGCAATACCTTGTGGATGTCGGTCAATTTTCTCAGGGATTGCTTAGCCGCGGATGATTAGATTATCATAGCGTTCGCCACTGCCAGCTTTGCGCTTGCTTCACGAGTGGTAACTTTGGTGTGCCCCCGAGTTTCCCACGAGCTTCAAGTCGTTCTAAAAAAAGTTGATAATGTGGTTTTCGATGACGCTCTTTAAAATTGGAAGCATATATCTATTCTCAATAATTGTAGAGTTAATTAACGAATTGCAATTAATTAGCTAACTTATTGCAAACATTATCCATCTACATAATGTCCTCCTGGCTGTATAGCTCACCAGCACAAACCGCTTAAGTGTAACTTTCACGCCTTTTTTGAAACAAATCTGTTAATCTTAAAAAAAAAAAAAAACACCCTATACATATATACACGTTTCCAATAATATATTTTTTTTTGCTTTATTCCTTTTTTTTTTGCGCTTCATTTATTGCGCCGGTTTAAAGAAGAGCACACGTTGATTTAAGTTGAATTCAGACGGATCGTTTTTTGTTACATGCACGACCAACTGTTCCGCGACGCCCGATTTTATTCTATTCTAGTGCCGTTTCTATTCCCTGACATTTCTAACTTATCTTGGGTGATAGCTCGCTCAGTAGCGGCAGAAAATATAAGAAAGAGTGCAGAACATAGTATTTATGAATTTTGCGACTTTCCGTCATTGTATATTAATGACAGCTAGTAATATCAACAACCATTTTTTTTTATTATTTTACATCCCAATATATTAGAGTCGACTTCCGCGTTGAAAGTTTCCATTTACAGATAGCGTTCCTATTTCGGAAGTAACCTTGCATATTCTCGTACAACAAAGTCATCTAGTTAAGAATTGAAGACTTGGAAATGGTCCCCAGTTTACACTAAAAGGTTATTTCCGGTTTTAAAAATAAGAAAACAAGGCTCACATATATTATTCCCCGTCGCAATCTCCACGCCCAGATTTTACACCCAGTCATCAAATTCAGGAAAAGGGTCCGAATGAACAAAATACCCCAGATATAAGAGGGAATAAATCTCGCAACATAGACGTAGTCCAAGCACGTGACGAACTTTATGCACAGCACCGCATCTCATCCAGTTTACGCCTTTCTGCGTGTGTTTTTCTCTTCTATTTTTTTTTCTAGACCGAGGTATAGCATGCCACGCCAAATCCAATAACGTAATGTACACCCGGAAGGCACGATACCATAATCATACTGACTTTATATTCATCAGAAATTGCTTATTTTATGTCTTGTTTCGTTTTTTTCGACAAGCGATGTCTTTATTGCACGTTTATTTATGCACGAAGGGTTGACGTTCACGCGCACGCGCATTATTATTTTGACCACCAGCCGTCTTGGAGTCCAAAGATGTTTCGCGCGTACGTATATTTACGCAAGCGAGGCCGGCTATCTGAATGTACCGTCGCTCATAGTGAGATGCGGTCCTCCATAAATCCGCCGCCACAAAGAAAGCGTACGGCTTTTGCACTGCTGTTTTTGTTCATACTGCAGAAAGTTTGGGTTCATGTTTACGGTTTGAAGCAGGCACGTAGTCAGGGGGGAGGCCCATGGGGCCCGGGCCCCCCTCGATATCTTCCATTTTACTGGGGCCTTGTCTCCCCCCTCCCCCACATACAACATTTTGTTATGGCGCCCCCCCCCCCCCCTTCCCTCCCTTCCCCCCCTCCCCCGGAAGAAAATCCTGGCTACGTGCCTGGTTTGAAGCATCCTGGCTAAGCAAAAATAAAGGATAAGTTCACGAATAAGCCAGATGTTTGTATCGCTGTCGTTTTTTTTTCTAAGGCGAAGCGGGAAAACACAAAGCCACTGCGTCTGTTTGGTCAGCTTGTTTGAAGATGAACATACCAGTATATAGACTTCCTTATCGCCCAACAGGGCGCGGAATGTAACGTTTTCTTTGTCGCGTTTCTTTTAGTCTATATTTTAAATTTTTTTGTTTTGTTTCACACTTCTGCTTTGGAATTTTATACTTGCATATTTTGTGCCCCCTCTTTGTTCACTTTAAAATAAAAACCAAACAGCACAAACTTCACAAAGCATAAACAGCTCTCTGAGATGCGATAGTTTGTTCGATTAAGATTAAACACTCGACGGTCGCATTTAACACGCGCGCGCTCTCCAATAACACACGAGGGGTTTGCCCTCCGTGAAACAATTCGGACAATCCACGATCCATCAGTCCGCATCGAGAGAGTGCTTGCGGTTCAAAGCTACACGCGCCGGTCGCGGAGAGAACAATATTTCAAACGCAGCTCGTTTCGAGGGAACGTCCGCGGCGCGCGTTGTAAGCCCTTCGCTCGCTGCCCTTTAAATCGGTCAAACGCGTCATTTCGTTCTCCCCCTAAGCTGACAGTGCAGTGGAAGCTACGCGCCGGTTGGAGTAGTCATACGTCCATCTTCAGTCACGTGACTCCGCTCTCGCCCATACCTCGCGCAGAGAGAGGGATCATGGGTGCAAGGCAAGCGGTTGATTGGTCCGGCGAGTCCGTAGCTCCCACCGCACTGTCAGCTCAGGCGTGAGCGGGGAATAGTGAATGCGTAAACGAGGAACGGTGCCGGTTGTCCGGGATATAAATAAATACGGCGGAAGAAAAAAAAAACGATTTGGCAGTTTTGGGCTACTGACCGGACCTGTGCTCAATTTTAGGCGCTCGAACATTCCATGGCGTGAAGTTCGTGAACTGGTTTGGATGTCGGCCGCTAAGTTCTGTACAGAGTTGTGAGGTCATGGTTAAAGTTAAATTTTGCTGACGTGGTGTTCGAGATTGATTCAAAGCAACAGACGTTCTCTTTAACTCTCTTAGACGCTATCGTCTTTGGAACATTTTCTTTGTCCACCTATTCACTGCTCCGCTTTTGCCCTGTTCCGTAAGTGAGGGCACTGAAAGATATGCCTGCGCGTCTACTTAGCCGCGAAACACTCAAAGAGCCAATCTCTGCGATCTGCGAAATCAGGTGAGCGAATGATGAGGCGGAACATCCGTTTCGACCTAAAAATGAAGTCCGCGCTGGCATTACGCAGTGCAAAGCGTCCTGCTTGCATTGTGTAATGCTACAGCGGAGACATAATTTTGAGGTCTAAACAGATGTTCCGCCTCATCATTTGCTCAGCTGATATCGTAGATCGCAGAGATTGGCTCTTTGAGTGTTTCGCGGGTAAATAGACGCGGAGGCATGTCTTAGAGTGTGGTACACTTATTTTAGACGTACTTCCGCCCGGATCGCATTCTCTGAATTCTGCTTCCGGCTCAACCTTAGATGGATGATTTTCGCTTTCTTTGTCTGATTGTTCGGGAAGGAGGGGGGGGGGGGGGGGGGATTTATTAGGAACTTGTTTAGGTGAAGTTGAGTTTTCTACGAAGGTTGGTTCACACACTTTCGCGAGTTTGACTGAGTGCGACTGCAACCGCTTGTGACGTTAATCCTTTTACGGGTTGCTGTGGCAACAGCTGCGACGGCTCTAACAAAACAGGGTAAAAACCGATTTTGTTGGAGCCGACGCAGCTGTTTGCCATAGCAGCCCGTAGGTCGCAAGCAGTCGCAGTTGCGCTCGGTCAAACTCGATGGCAGTGTGTGAATCGCCCTTTAGAAAAGCGACACGCCTGGTTACTTTGATTATTAGATCGAATAGATATCTGATCACAAGTCTTCAATGAGGGGCTGTTTTATTCGTTGTCAAACGACATCGTTTCCCTCGTAGGCGTTTCTTTTTCTTTCTGCCAATGAAGTTTAATTTCTGCAGCCTACGTTGTAAGAATTATGCTATGCTTACACTTTTCCATTAATGTTCATATAGACTGGTTACTCACAAATGTAATATAGGATGAGATATAATAAAACATGTTATTTTATTTCTCCGTGTCTCGGGTTTTAGACTATGATGTTTTCTGTACCAGCTCGCCTGTATATTCTTGATTTGTGCTAACCTTTTGTGCTATCCGTTGTTTTCGCAGACTTTTTCATCAACGGTGTCCCGTCACGACGTTGGCTCTGCTCTATCATGTGCAAGTTCATGTGAAGGTAAGATTGCATTGTCAAGTTTTCTTATCCCAAAACCAGCGATTGTCATGGTCTGGTTATAGATTTATAAATTACCCGCAATGTACGACAAGTCTGTCTGCGACAAAAAAAGTCGCGTGATAGGTTTCCAAATACAGCAGACAAGACAAACCCTTCTGTTATGCTACTTCCACCATGCATCATGTAAGCTCCACCATGCGTGCACTTCCTTATAAGTAAAGTGTCTTTAATATACACGTATAAATGAATAAAAGAGCATTACGCCAGCAATTTATTTTTATCTTATAATTGAGTGGAAGATTAGATTCTTGTCATTATGGACTCAAGCAAGCCTCCGGTGCCTTAACTTGATCTATCGGAGGCACCAGAGTGCATTTTACGGCAGTCTGACTTTCCGTTACCCAAGCTTCCTCACAGCATGATAGGAAACGCATGTTCATCCCAAAATCGGAAGCAAGCTCTTGTAACATATAAACATAACACAAAAATAAATACTTTACTTATGACCGCGCAAAACGTCTGCTTTAAAAAATAAAAATAAAATTGCAATAACATTTCGCGGTTCCTCGTTTCCATGAACATGGGCCCACAACATGTGGACGAGACCTGTTCAAGTATGCGGTTCCATGTTAAAGTCCCGGAGACCATACCATGGTCTTGTAGGTTCGTCATCCCTCACCCCCCCCCCCCCCCCCCCCTCCCACCCCGCGATAAGGGGGAGGGGGGGGGGGGCACGTTTTACAAAGCTTCAAGCGGCATACATTGAGCTGTGGAGAACAGCTCTCGCTCTTTCTCCACGAGTAGATCCGCTGGTCCATCGATTCGAGGACTAATTAGATATTCCCAGATCGATAAGGCACCTTCTTTCTGGTTCTTTTTTGACCGAAACTACTTCTGCCCGATCCTTTCCTGTGCTGTTTCCGGCGGCTACGTCTATGTAGAGCTTACTCCAACTTTCTTGGTCGACTTTGCCTCGCCCTTTGAGTGTTTTCGGTGGTTCCTGGTCTCTTGCGTGTGTCATTGTTTAAGGCTGGCGCTTTTGTCGCATTAACGTCGGATTAAAAATAGATTAGTTATTTTGGTCGAGGGGAAAGTGAGGGGGGTACCGAAGAAACGAGGCTTCGGTGAGGTTATTCGACACTTTTTAAATGTATTTTAAATAGCGCCTTGTTTCACGATGAATATACTTTTTTACCGGGCCTCTCGCTGTGTGCTTTTTCACCATGCAGTGGCACATGCAAATATGATGAAAGCGCGGATATTTCGCTCGCCTCAACACTTGATAGTCGATTTTCTAATTACGCAAATTGATCTGGTGTGACGTAATATTCAACGGTTGTTCGAGCTTTGTTGGCGTTTTAATGAGGAGTTATATAGATGGGGGCACCGAAATAGAATTTAATCAATTTTAGCAACTATAACTATCTACAGCACCGACGACACGATAGTAAGCGTCAATGTGTTCTATAGCAGAGATCTCCAAACTTTTTGTCTAAGGGGCTGAATTAGCAATCTGTCGCAGTTCGAGGGGGGAAGAAAAAAAAAATAAATGTAATCATAAGCGAAAAAAAAAAAACACCAAATAAATAAACCTAGATACTCATTCGAACACAGAAATGAATGTTAGAGAAAGTATTAACTCCTAAGATGGATTAATGCATATGCTTCAATTTGAAGTTTTATACTTAGCTAATTATGACATCTGGCCAAGAAAACTAACCAGCTATAAAGCGAAGCGCATGGGAACTTTGGCACGTACGTGCAGTGCGAAAGACGAGTGAGGGTGATAAACCTAATGCTGACAATATGTAATAGGTGTGACAAAGGATGCTAAGCGCAATGTATATGAGAACGCGATAAAAATTGTAACGCAGTCACAGTTTCTGGTTGTGTGCGTGTTTATATAGGACAGACGGGACTTCGTTTCAATGATTGGGCGAGGGAGCACACGTTCGCTGTACATAACAATTCAGAGGGCGGGGGGAGGGGGAGTGGGGGGGGGGGGGGGTTTCCGGAGCATCGCAAGCGTTGAGAATGCGAACCGCGATCAGATTCGACGAAGTTTGTCAAAAGAACGCTTAAAGATACGGAGCGAGGAATCGTTAAAGCTTTCTTTATCAAGAACGCGGGTGAAACGCGTGTGAGCATGCCGTCTAATTTTCTGCTGGAGAAGGAATTGTTTTATTTAAATGGCTTCATATAAGACTGCTAATATGTTATCGGTTCATGGCCTGTTATCGGCATGGTGAACGACGGTCTAACTAGGTGAATGTTTTTTTTTTTTTTTTTTCTTTAATAAATTCAGTTGTAAGTGCGCCTGTCCTTGTGGATACATGTTTCCGATTTAGTCCGTGTTTCAGTTCGCGCTTTTATCCTTTTAGATGACTGAGAATAGTAATGTTGGTGATGACAATGATCAGGTACTGATATGACGAGAGAACCCGCGTTACAATGCAGACGCAGTTTATCTCGTTATTTCTGGTACCTTAGATTGCGCATCTCGATCCCGTCGGGGCGCCAAATCTTTACGCACACTTCTTTGCACCGCTAGCAACTGGCCTAATGGAAGCGGGTCCCGGGCCGGGCTCCATTGGAGAGACCGTGGTTAGTCACAGACCAGTCGGAAGACTTCCGCGGTCGGGATTTGACCCGCGGGCCGGGGTTCGGAGGCTCCTGTTCTAGAGCAACGAATATCTCGTTAAAATTGAGCGCCATTTGCAATGCGTCGTTATAATTGCATCCAACGTATGTTACTGGTATCTAACTAACTGGTGGTGTATCGTTCGACTAACCAAAATCCAGAGCTGGTTCCTTTTTTTTCGTAAAAAAATTTAATTACTTGTTTGTCCGTGGGTGTTGGATCGTGTACCTTGTTTCGTGCTGTTAAATCATTTCTATATATGTTTCCCATTTTATAATACACTTCGTGTCTAGTTTCTCTATGTTCCGCTCCTGGTCATTTTTGTTTTCGCCTTTAGGTGCAAATACATCAAATTAGAATGACTGCGCGAATTAACAACTTGCGAATTTTGAAGAAACCATGCCCGACGTCAGGAAGAAGCAACAAGATAACACACTGGCTGTCCCGGATCAAGAACATTGTAGGGAAGCAGCGAACCTGTAAAGTGTTATGCACTTTGAACCCTGCCTCGCTTACGGAGCGATAAGTGAAAAATCTTATAAATGTAATTCAATTCAATTAAACTTATATCTTCTCTTGACACCTACTTCACCCCCCCTTTTTTTTTTCTTCTTAATAAGGCGTCTTAAAATGGCGTCAGTATGTTCATATCACCCGGGAGATGACAAGATGAATTCGCCATCAAGCCCGAACGAACCGACGAACGCTTTCCAGTCCTCTAAGCGCCACCCTTTTCATTTGAATTATACAGCGCACGCTTCACCGGGAACAACACACATTGAATCGCGTCCCCAAGCGCGCAGATATACAAGAAACTACTTCTCAGCAAAAACAGAAAAATAAAAACAAGTCTAAAACGACGTTGCCCAGACTTCGGTCGGATGTCTGTCTTCGAAGGCAGACACCCTTTCTTTTTCGTCGCGCTTTCCCTCTTTTAACTCCTTTTTATCCCCTTTCGTTCCCGCGCTTTCTGTTCCCGCGTCTTCCCGCGCGTTTTCTTTTCCCGCGCTTACGTTTACTGCATTTTTGTAGAAAAAGCGACGAAGGACATGATTGCTCTAGCCGGTGTAGTAGGTCTTGCAGAAAACTCGGGAATCCACTCGCTCGTGTATCTTCATTTTAACGTTTCGTTTGGTTCGTTCTTTTACTATTTTGAACGTCAACCTTCGTCAGCCGCTTGGTCCTGGGTTCCACTTTACAAACTGAATTTTTTTTTCTTTCTTTTTAGTGGAAGTTTTTGAAATAGTTTTTTTTTGTGTGTTTTACCATTTGTTAGGAGTCGCTTCGCTCTCTGACAAGCCTAATTTATCACCCGACTTATTTCCTACGTTTGTGTCTCCAGCTATACGTGAGCGCACTGAGATATACAAAAAGAAAAATTTAGACAAAAGAAGCTCACTAGAAAGATGCCTGGGGCCTGGTGGGTTGCGCTGCTGTGGGGTGGGCGCAGGACATAAGGGAGTTTGTCTGAGTGAAACTGCTGGAGGAATTGTAGAAGGCCTTCTTTTATCAGCTGCCCGACCGTTTCTGCGTGCATAAAACTTCTTAGTTTTGAGCGGTTTTTTTGCGTCTTTTATGAAGTGGTTGGTGCCCGTGTTTGTTTCTGTATGGTGTTAGATGTTTGTTTGTAGGCCCCTAAAGACAAATTAATGAACACTACGCGTGTGTGCTATAAACAGGGAGTTGTGGGGCAGAGCTGACAGAAAAAGGAAGATATGCCGCTGTTCTCATTTGCAGTCGACATCCCAATTTGTCAACAGTTCTAAAAATGGGGCACCTTTTGTGCGTTGTCTATGATCCATAAACTGCCACGTTAACTAAATGAACCGTTTTTCCTTTCTTTTTTCCTGTGATGAATCAGAATTTTAATAGAAACTTTTAGCCGTGGTGTGTAATATCCGTTTTCGCAACCTTTCCACAGTTATTGTAGTGGGCGCTAATTAAATAAAAAAGACGATAACGCGCGACAAAACAAAAGCAGCTCGAAACAGGAGCAGACAAGTTAAAAAATTACATTTATAAAGGACTTTTTTTTTCTCTCTTCGTGTGACAACTGCAACCATCCTATTTTCGTACTCCTCTGACATTATTCTTTTTTTTTATTTATTACCTTGCATAGTATTTGATATCTATATTTATTTATGAACTTTCCTAGAGGCAGAAAGTATACTTCCTATGAGTCTACATTCCGCTAAAAGCGAGCCTAAACTCGAACAAGCCCGTCGCACCTCCGTCAGATTCGGGAAAAACGTCCAAGACCACCAACACACTTCGGGTAGCGACCATCCCGATGGCGTCTTGATTCCCTAACGAATCCAATTTTCTAAACCTGCTTCCTCCATTTTGTTTTATTACATAT